AATGTCAATAAAATTGCAGCTTTTATCAGCGCATGTGGCTATATGCAGCGCGGCAGGTGGCAAGTATTGCCATTAAAATTCAATTAGCGCACATGTCGATGGGGAATTTGTACATGTGGCAACTACGTGGCAGCCAAGCAGCGCTGAAAATTCATTTCGACAAATTTGCAAACTAAAATGAACACGAAATGCTTGCAACAAGCAAGCTAGCAATTTTCAGCGAACAAAAAATTTCCTACAAAGCAGCGCAGTAAAGTATGTGTTTGTTGTTTAACACTGTTTGGTTGTTGTTGTTGCTTTTTTGGCTGACGCTCGAACATTATTGCGTTGATTGATTTTCGTTGTTTTCGTTTACTCTTTGCTATTTATCTATGCATTGGCGACCTATATACGCTCTAACGGTACATATACTTGTATATATGTATGCCACAATGCATATGGTATATGCGAAAGTACCGTTACGCTACCCGAGTCGATTCACACACACACTCAAACACACAAATACGCTCCAACTTACTTGCACTTGATTGCCACCAACATCGCTCCCACACTTTCAAGCGCAATTACCTAGCACACTGCTCAGGTCTTTGCATACTCACTTTTGAAATGTTTCGGACAGCAAACGAATTCCACGCCCGAGAACAATGAAATACCACAGGGCAGCAACATGGCGAAGCTGCGCATTTGCATGCCGCGCTCCTGGCAAGCGGCAGCGCCAGTCTGGTTCCATCTAACGAATGGCCAGCAACGTGAGGCGTTGTGAATGTGATCGAAGAGGCAACCTTCGGGCACGAGCAGGGCATCCGACTGGAATGGTCCTTCTGAAAGCAAGTGCATAATGTAGCAAGCAGAAATTTGCCGGTGTTCGTTTGAATATTAAATAAAATAGAGGAAAAGAAAATAGAATGTTAGGAATGTTGAAAAAGATAGAAATAGAGGGAGAGAGAAAAAAGAGAGATAGAGACGGGAGCGGGCGAGAGATATTAGTTAGGTGGTTAGCATAATATGAAAAAAAACATAATCTAGCATTTAAAGAATACATTTTTAATTCTATGATATTCTATATTATTCTATGTTTTTTTTTTAATTCTCTCATAAAAGTTTTTTGCTAAATTCTATACTGCGCGGTCCTACAAATTATTGACTTTTTGAGAAATCATTTCTTTATATGCTATGTTATATATTCGATGTTTTTGTTTTCATGTTTTCCAATATTTGTTACCCAAACTTCCATATATCTTTCTGTAAACGAGTCTATATTCTATGTTTTATATATTTTGCAATGTTCCATGTTTCTAATTTCATACTTGAAAAAAAAGTATGTGTTGAATTTATAGAGTGAATGCAATGCTTAGCTTATATTTAAGAACCAATTCTATATTTCATATTCTATGTTTTTTTATGTCATTATTTATATTCGATACTCTTGTTTTTATAGTTTCCTTTATATGCTGTGTTTAATATTCGAAGTTTTTGTTTTCATGTTTTCTAACATTTGTTATTCAAAACAAGTTGTTATTCTATGTTTTATATATTTTGCGATATTCTATGTCTCTTATTTCATATTTTTAATTAAAAAGTATATGCTTAATTTATTGAGCGAATAAAATGCCAGTTAAGTTTATGTATCTGATATTCGAGTCCAAATTCTATATTTCACATTCTACGTTTTTTGTTTTTTATTGTTTATGCTTTAATGTGCTATATAAATATTATACTTATATAGTCTATATTGGTTTTTCATTTTCCTGGATGTTTCCTTTAATTTTTACATTTCTTTCATATTTTCATAGTCTACTCACCCAAGCAACGGAATGGTTTGATCCAACGATGTGCCCCTTTGCATTTTGCCGAATTCAAAGCGCCCTGACGACACCAGCCGCCGATTTTCTGATAATGCGAAGATTCAACAATATTAGTGATGTCACGATTCGGATAAGCCTGTAAGCAAGGGATGAGAGTGTGAGTGTACAGAGTGTTGATTGGGGTATATAAAGGTATATAGATTTTTCGGTAAGTTAACTATATTGCATAAAAGAATCTTGTAGCGACTCCTATTTTTTTAATTGCCTTACGAAATGTGTTGATATGGACAAAGTTCTTAGTGATATTTTTAAAAAGCTTAGCTTAAAAATAAAAAGCTTAAGTTCAGTGATAGATGGCGCTGTGTTAAAGTTATGCTTTCTAATTGTAAAAACTTTCGTCAATGCTTGTTACCGTCTCAAGTCGGAAAATTTTCAAACCCAACAGCTGCTCTACATTTTAAGTTTCATATGACTCAAAAATTCTGTTTTGAACACCGCTACAGCCTCAAGCGGAAATCCGCATAGCTCTGGGTTATTGAAGACTTGATTGTCTGGATCGCTAGATAGCACACTTATTTTGACTGATCAGCTGCGCATTAGTGTTTGTTGACAGATTA